TTATAACATGTCTTTTGATCCTTGGTAATGGTTGCATACCAAGCGCAGTAATCTCCTGATGTTTGTTACTGGAGAGATTGGATCTTGGCAGTGCAGAATGGTGAGAAGGGGGAACCCTACATTTTTTTTTTAAATAAAATACTTTCTAAAATATATATTTTTATTGATTTCAGAGGCGAAGGGAGAGGGAGAGAAAGAGAAAAATACCAAAGATGAGAGAGAATCATTGATTGGGATGGAGATCGAACCTGCAACCCAGGCTTGTGCTCTGACTGGAAATCAAACCATGACCTCCTGGTTGATAAGTCAAAGCTCAACCACACTGAACTGCACTGGCCGGGTGGGAGCCCTAAATTTTTAGTTAGACAAAAGGACAAAATGTGCCCAAATTTCAGTCTTATCTCTTCCTAGCATTCTGACTTTGGACAAGTTATTTAGCCTCTCTGAATGTGTCTTCTCACTTAAAAAATGTAGATGGTCATGATGGTGATAATGATACCACCAACCTCATAGGATTGTTGAAGTAAATGCAGCAATGCCTTGCATTATAAACACAAATACATGTTCACTATTTATCGAGAGTGAAGTGATGGGTATAACTCATACTATTGTATTTTTTTTTTTTTAATTCTTTGGGAAAACAGACATTTTTTCTCAAGACCAAGATATATCCCACAATAGGTCCTGAGAAATAAATGAGGTGTTAGAATGCCAGTGCCCATGTCCTTGTCCCTTTTATAATTAAAAGCAAAAAGCAAACTTTGTGTGGAAGTGCATCCAAGGCTCAGTGACAGCCCCGCCCAGGGACCACTTGGCTAATTAGCACACTTGCATTGTCGGATTTCCTGACGCCCCGCTGCCGCTTGTTGTCAGCTCCTTGAAACTGCAGAAATTTGCCTCTGCAGGTGTGGAGCGCCTGCTTGAATTACTCAGGGCGCAGGAGAGAGCAAATTATTTAGGCAATAGAGCTGAAAATGTAGGCAAATTAGAATTTTTCATAGCAAGATTGTTCATTGTTAAGCCAATTCATGATTATCTGTGTGCTTCTTGCTTCAGATATTCCCCTACACAATAAACCTCTTTGCTGAGATGAATATGTATGTGGGCTAATTTAATCAATATACTTGTGACAGGAGTGGTGTCTGACAGAACTCATCCTTTGAAATACTGGCTGAGTTCATGCGTGCAGTATATCTATGGGCCAAGACTCATAATTTGTGTTAAAAGAAGATTATTTTGAAAAGACACAAGACTGCCTGTTGGAAAATGGAAAAGCCTGAGGGATGGACAGCAAAGGGCAAGGGGTTTTTTGCCTTTTCCCTCTTATTGGACTGAAAACTAAAATTTATGGAACTAAACTGCCTTCCTTTTGAAAAATTTGCAAGTCAATGACTACATTTTTTTTTTTTATTCTCAGTGTTACTGTTGAATTCTGTAAATTGACTAAAAGGTGGAGGGGGCGGCTTTTGTGTATTGTTAGATTAAATGGGAGGCTGAGTGCCCTGCTCCAATCTGCAAATGTTTGCTTTCTGGAAATATCAACATGTGTGATCAGATCACATTCAGCGAGTTTACTCTTTGGAGCAGGTGTATTTCAGTCATTTCTTAAAGAGCACTTGTAACTGAAATTGTCTTCTGAGATAAGATTGCTCCCCAGGAGGTAGGCTAGTAGAATAGTTTGGTCGGACCAGCCAGAACCCCTGAACCTTGCTTTGGAGAACCTTCCCATTACCATAATTACCATGAGCTTCCTAGTGAAGCTTGTTGTAATGAATTCTGATTCTTTGGCCCACATTGCCCACTGGAACTAAGCACAAATACAGTGGCTGACAGATGGCCTCCTGCTTGAAAATACAAGTTATCCACAGTGAGTATAGATGACTCACTGGCCTCCATAAATCTTGTGAAATATATCTTAGCTTGAGTGTCCTCCAGATCTGGAAGACCCTAGGCCAGTGATGGCGAACCTATGACATGCCTGTCAGAGGTGACACATGAACTCATTTTTTTGGTTGATTTTTCTTTGTTAAATGGCATTTAAATATATAAAATAAATATCAAAAATATAAGTCTTTGTTTTACTATAGTTGCAAATATCAAAAAATTTCTATATGTGACACGGCACCAGAGTTAAGTTAGGGTTTTTCAAAATGCTGACACTCCGAGCTCAAAAGGTTCGCCATCACTGCCCTAGGCCCTAGGGCAGTGGTTCTCAACCTTGGCTGCACATTAGAATCACCTGGGAATCTTTTTAAAATCCTGATTTCTGGGCCTCAGGAGCTGAAACAAGACTGAAGACCAAGAGTTTGAGAGCCTGACTCAGGCTAACAAGGACCCACCCTCCCTCTAGCTAGACCATGAGCCATTCCAATGGTGAGAGTGCTGGGCCAGAGTGGCACTCCTAGCACCACTCCTATCCCGAGCAGACCCCTCTGTATCACTGGCAGGATCACGGCAGCCATTAGCAGGCATTTTGATCATTGGCTTAAAGGTCATCATTTCACCTCTGATGAATAATCCACTAAGAACCCAGGCCCACTCAACAGAAATATGCCATTTTCCATTTGATCCAGGCACAGTTTTACTCAGTGTTCCCAATAGGGCCTGCCCAGGGCCTTCATCCTATATAATAAAGAGGTAGTATGCAAATGGTTGTTACAGCGTGACATGTAATGACGGATCATCAGGAGGGCAGGGCTGCGAGCTACAAGTGGGGAGAGCTATGAGCGGCAGTGGGCGGGGCAGACAGCTGGGGCAAGCGGCAGTGAGCACCTCTCGCATGGGCCACTAGTAGCTTATAAAGGACTAACTAGATGTGTTGATCTCTCCATTGTTAAGATAGAATCAGGATAAGGCTTGAAAAGCCTGTTTAGCACTAGTGCTGCTTTAATTGCATCAGATAATTTTGATGCTGACTTGAACCCACAGGGCCTAACCAGGTTTGCCTATGTCTAATTTCTGTGAGTATAGATTGAGGTGAGATATTCGCAGAAGCAGCTTGGTTCCAGTCTTCTTTATTCCACGTATAAATTTTGTTTAATAGATGATCCAAGTACTTTGTGTTGCCTAATTATTCGATTCCTTAGGGGTCAGGGTCGGGGAGGCAGGTTCTCATTATAGACTAGTTAATTCAGATGGGAAAACCCAGGCAATAACTCTCACCTGATATCACCTTTCAGCTACCCCTTGGCTTTTGTGAGTCCCTGAAAAACGTTGGGCGTTAGCTATCTCGTCTCCAGTTGCAGACAATCTGTAGCAAAAAACTTTGCCTCGACTGTATTAGAATATTGGAGGGACCACAAATGTGAAACATTATTAGGTTTCAGATTTCATAGAGAATTTTCCTAGGTGCTAAGGATAAGGAGGCAGACTTGGAGGTGATCATTTTTGTTAAATGAAACCTTATAACGTATTAAGTTGTATAACTCACAAATAGACATATTTGACAGTGTACAAAGACAGCGTTATTGGGTTTTAGAAAGCTTCAGGATTATGGAAAATATATTGGACATGATATTTTGAACCATCTCTAACTCTGGACAATAAAACTCAGTATCTCAACACTAAAAGTGACTCATAGGAAAAGGACTCTGATTAGCTTGCACTCCCTGGTCAGTACTTGTACTAGTTCCCTTGAAAGGAAGTTAGCAGGCACACATGCTTTATAATGAGGTTAAATCCAAGAATTTCATGTGTGCTGTAATTGTTGAATACAACATCACATGAAATTCAAAGTAAGTGTTGTGGAAATTATCCCAGGATATGGGATTACATTGGAAGAAAGAGTGGGCTGTGTGTAAATGTGTTACTTATATCCCATAACTTACATCATTGCTTTGTGTAAGGCATGGGGCCAGATAGGAGCTATATGAAAATGAAATACACTTGGGCACTTGGCCTTTGTGTTTGTGTGTGTGACTTGTAGATAATCTGATATGATATCCAGTAATGAAAACCATGGAAAATAAACCTACCCTAATGGAACATTCCAGGTAGACTGGTGAACACTGCCATCCCGTATATACACCTCAGTGTGGTTCTCTTTTTTTTCATATACAAATTTTATTTCATAGTTGATCCAAGTACTTTGTCTTGCCTAATTATTTAATCCATTGGTTATTTTTTAATCCTTAATTATGCTATGCCCAGCTCTGCTCAAGATACAATGTGTTTGCTTAGAAATGTATGTTGTTATATTTGAGAACTTTGGTGTCATATATATAGATAGATTGATAGATAGATAGATAGATATAGATATATATATATTTATTTTTAAAGCATGAGGCATCTTTAAGTAATCAGTTGGATAGAAACACAAGCGTGCTATACCAGGAAATCAATTTCCAAAGTAAAGAACTTAGAGGCTACTTATTCTATTTGTCAGGACTCATCATTATTAAAACCAGATAGGATATTATCTTTATGGTTGAAAGGTTTTGATCGTACACAAATGGTCTCATTTTTAACACATGGCAACTGTGTTAATTAAAAAAGGATGAGTAAGGAATTCTTAACTTGCCATCATAAGTAACATGAATATTTGGAATTGAATCATTTTCCTAAGTAGTCTTGACTTTTTGGAGCATATTTTTCTCGACCAGGCGAGCTACAGTGCTCAGCCAAGACAGATTTATGACCTTTTAAAAATAATGATGGAAAATGAGATCGGAGGAAACATCCTAGTATCTGCTTTGCTCTGAGGCCTAAACTGCGAACTCTCGGGTTCTGGAAGGCTTTGAAATGCTGATTCCAGCCTTCTTGTGGGTCCTTAAACACCTTCTCGAATGGCCCATTTTAATAACCCGAAAGCTATTATATAACGAGCAGCCATAATTTAGTCCAGGGCTCTAGGGGGACCCTCACAGTTCAGCAATGAATAGTTAATGCAGTATAATGTTTAGCAGGTTATTAGTTTTCACTATACAAATGCTGATCTGGGAACGCTTTTATAAGGTGTTTAAAAGAAAATGTAATTAACTGGTTGCGTGCTTCTATTGCAGCTCAAATTGAAATTATTCCATGCAAGATCTGTGGAGACAAATCATCAGGAATCCATTATGGTGTCATTACATGTGAAGGCTGCAAGGTAAGCCTTTTTAATTGTTGTTGTTGTGTCTATTAATGTTAGACTGTATCTTTGAAATTCTTGGTTTTTATTTCTACTGTGTCTAACAATTCAACTCCTGGGAATTTTGAGTGATGAGAAATGACAGGACAGAATATTTTGGTGTTAAATTACATGTAAAAAAAGTTACATGTTTTTTATGCCTTCCATCAAATTAACAGGAGGCTAGAGAAAGGTATTTGAGCATTGCTTGCTTGTCACTTCCAATCCCAGAATTGATTGATCTGATGAATAATCGCTGTGGTTATCTTTTTTAAAAAGAGTTAACATTAGACTTCTATAATGTCCCGTTATTAGCTTTATAAGAAGACATTTGCAATAAATTCAATCAAAATATGATTGAAATTCTTATTGTTGGCACACAGATGTTGACACAGCTGGCCAACTTATGGCAAGGCTGTTGGAAAGAACTGAGTTCTGGCTCACTTGTCCATATAGTTTTGTGCATGTTTTAATATTTTAGTGACTCAGTTTCCTCATCTATAAAGTGGGCATAACACCTACTTCCTGTCTTTTAAAACTATTCTAAGAACAGAATGAAAAACTGTAAATAAAAGTCCTTATAAACTGAAAAGCGCAATTTAAATCTAAACATTATCATTCTTATTGCTGTTGTTAATATTTTAATTTTGACTGATGCTGATTTCAGGGTAATATATACAGAACGCGCACAATATGGCAGTGGGAAATAGAGATGGTTATCCTAATCTTCCAAGACCCCCAAACCCAGATTGCCTCTGTTATTCAAATTTTAATTTATTGAGATCTAAATCCTCCTGCTTATATTGGAAGAGCCTTGAGACAGCTTACAGGATAAAACAGTGCAAAATAAACAGAAGAGCAGCTATTTAAACATGCTGAAGGCTCTGAGACCTTCGATTGCCACTGAACCAAGCCTGATTTAGCCCTAAGGCATTTTGAAGCTGAGGCAAAAAACAAAATCCACGAATTTGGTTAGCTCTCCTTTAGAGAAATTAGAAAAATACAGTGTCATAAAATTCAAAATCACCTGCAGACACAAATAACTACTGAAAGACCGCAGGAAAATTTGCCTTGTAATTTCCTTAAGTCTTTGTTTTACTGTTAATCATGATAACATTTGCCACTTTGTACGCATACAAATGCTTCCTATTGAGCCCATCTTGATGAAGCTTGAGATTTCTGCACACCGCCGAACACAATAATCTTTTAAAAAATTGCCAGCCTTTTAAGAATAGGGGCCCTGCTACTTAAAGGGGAGTTTGAATTATTCATCTCTGTGGTAACACTCAAAGCCTCAGGGTTCTGGATTATCAACAAAAAAAGTTATCCCCTTTTACTCCCTCCATCTTCCCTCCCTCAAAATGAATTAATGAGTTGAAATAAAACAAAATGAAACCGCTGCCTGGCCTCCGCCATCTCAGAGAGGGATCTGCCTGTGACAGTAGCCGCCTGACTGACTTTCAGAGTTAATCTGGCTGACATGGCTGGGCAGGTGTAACACCTCACCCTCATCCACTCTGTGCTCACACCTTCCCGGCTAAAGATGACATGGCCTTTCTGGGTGAAGGATATGAAGACAGTAGTCCTCCCACACCTGGAGTTCCACCCAATGGGGACTTTTGTGTACTGCCTGCCACCAGGGTGGACAGGTTCCTAGGTATTAACCAATCTGAGTATCTTCATTCTGCCCAGGAACCTGATCCCCCCCCCCCCCCCGAGTCTGTCAGTAATGCCACATGTGGTTTTATGTAGCAAACTGAAGTGAGTGTCTAAGAATGGAGTCTGGGGGTGGGGGCTACTTCCTATGATTCTGTAAAAGTGAATTGACTCTCTGAGGACCACTGTGTTTACATAGGCATTGACACTGTGTGTTTTCTTTTTACCCCAATGTTTATGACAGAAATAAAAGCAATAGAAAAACAACAGGCAGCTATTATGTCACAGTTGTCACTTCTCTAGATGACCCTTTCAAATCTTGTCCGTACCAGTATACGGACTCAATGCCAAAGTGGTTTTTGGTTATCTGTGTTCTTCTGTTCAAAGTCACAGAAACAAACAATTAGAACTTAACTGTATTAACAGATTGGGCCGGTGCCCAACCTGGGACCTATACAATTGCATGTGTTTATATCGGATGCACATACTGTTTACTCTGCAGAACAGTTTCTCTCTGCTATAACTAATGTTTTTATTTCTAGTTGTGGTGAAGTCAGGAGCCTCTGCTTTTGCCATTGAGGTTAATGATTTACCATGTTCTAACCAGGTGGAGGTGGTTACTTTATGACAAATTGTAAATAATTTATCTCTGTGCTAGTATCATTAGACATAAGGAAAAATTATAATTAGATATATAAATATATAAATAGATATCTAGGTATCTAATGAGAGGGGGAAAATGACTCAGTCATTTTCAGAGCTAATCATTTAAATGCAATTTAATGTATTTTAAATTGCATTTAAAATTAAAACCACAAGAAACCAGAGAACCTGGTTAATTACTGAAATGATTTATCATATATTGGCTCAGGTAAGCATTGCCCACGAACAGCGAAAATAGTAGACGTTTTGGTAACTCTTTCTCTAGTTCCCGGTTATTCCCTGCTCACCCTCTCCTGGTCCCTGGCCTACCTGCAGAGAGACAGTTTGGGGTCATGCTTGTGCTATGATTCAGGAACCAGACTGCCTAGGTTTGAATCTCAGCTCTGCTTTTTCCCAGTTTGAGCAGCAACCCAACCTCTCTGTGCCTGTTTCCCCATCTGTAAAATGAGGATAGCAATTGTAGTTAACTTCATAGAGTTATCACGTGCATTTTGGTAAAACACTTCAGACGAGATCGGGCGTGTTCAGGGTGGTATGGCCGTAGACTGGTAAAGCACTTCAAAAAGTTCCCAGCACATAACAAACACTCAGTAGGGATTGGCTGTTGTTATCATTCCTCGCCACACTCCTTATGCCTGCATAATGCTATTGGATAGTCAGATGCTATTTCAGGTTATCTATGGGTCCAGTCCCGATTTTTATGGCCATTTGTGATTTGTTATGTAGACTCTGCCAATAAAAACAGCAAACATATGAGCACCTATCTTGGGACCAGGCGCTTTATAAGTGTTGTAAGGGATCCAGACACAGAAGTCCTAATCCTTCCGTCAAGCAGTTTACGGTCTAGTTCAGTGATGGCGAAACTTTTGAGCTCGGCGTGTCAGCATTTTGAAAAACCCTAACTTAACTCTGGTGCCGTGTCACATATAGAAATTTTTTGATATTTGCAACCATAGTAAAACAAAGACTTATATTTTTGATATTTATTTTATATATTTAAATGCCATTTAACAAAGAAAAATCAACCAAAAAAATGAGTTCGCGTGTCACCTCTGACAGGCATGTCATAGGTTCGCCATCACTGGTCTAGTTGTTAGAGAGGAGGCCAGCATAGGAAAAGCTAAATAGCAAAGCAAGAAATAAATACCAGAGTAAGACCACAGTCTGTAATATAACTCGAGGAGACATATCCATGAGGCAGCAAGAGCCTACCGATGAAGATGTCTTGGTTGTATTTTAGGGACAACATATAACCCAGTTTGACTAGAGTGAGGGGTCACTTTCTGTGTGTAGTGTAAGCTAAGGATGGACAGGTACACCATTCCAAAAATTTTAAGAGCTCCATTATGATAAGGTTTTTATTTTTAAAATATTTTACTTGTTCTTTTGAAATAATGAGGAAACAGTGTGCTAGCCCCGTTCAAGCCCTGCATGTTTCATTTCAGAAGAATGTAGAATCCAGGCCTGCAAACTTCGTTCTGTTGGTAAAGACATTTCTGAGCTCTTGGAACAGAATTTAGTCCTGGCCCTGGGTGAACACTAGGAGGGGTGTAAGGTAAGTTAGGGTAGACCTGCCAGGGAGCTGGGGCCAGACCATGGAACATGCAGGCAGGGGAAAGGCCAGAAGGAAAATGAGAGGCTATCGATGTGAGGGTTAAAGTTCACAAAGTGAATAAAAATGCAGAAGTGTTTATAGAAAAATGACCATTAGTTGAGGTTTTCTTTTGAAAAATTGTCCTATTTATCATTCAACTTCAGTTCCTAGCTTCATTACATACAGTAGCTGCTCAGATGATGATGATAAAATATTTATTTCAAGATAAAAAAAAAACAAAACACAATTTTTTCATCTGTTTTCTTACAGACTTTTTGGCTCTACAGTTTCTATTTTTTAAGATATATTTTTGTTGATTTCAGAGAGGAAGGGAAGGGGAGAGAGAGACATAGAAATAACAATGATCAGAGGGAATCATCGATCAGCTGCTTCCTGCACATCCCACACTGGGGATCAAGCCCGCAACCTGGGCATGTGCCCTGACCAGGAATTGAACCATGACCTCCTGGTTCATAGGTCGATGCTCAAGCACTGAGCCACACCAGCCAGGCTCTACAGTTTCCACTGGAACATTTCAGTTGCTAACGTACAATTGAGTATTGGAATTAGTAAATTGATTTCTGATTACATTTAAGACCCTTTGCTCTAGATAGGTCTTAGACTAGCATTTGTTTATCATAATACATTTACGATGTCATGCTAAACCCCCTCTTTTACCCAGTAAAGGGAGAATTCGGAATACTTTCTTAGCATTAACAAATATATGACCTGAAATTAACAATAGAAAGATATCTAGATTGTATAATTATACATTTATTTATTCCTGAAAAAGCTAAAGCAATTTCTGGAGCTTTTTATGTATTAGGTTAAAAACCAATGTCCATAAATGTTCCTTTTAGGCCCCAATTGTTTTTAACAGGATTCTAATATTTTTATTTCAGTTGTGAAATGCCACTAGTCTTCGGCCAGTTTTGTCCACTTTGCAGCATTGATGCATTCATGTTCAAACACTTTATTGTACTGTTTTATAACAGCTGGACTGCACTATTAGAGCTAGCCATTTAAAATGAAAATTGGACTTGGCTATTATTGCATACTGTGACAT